CGCCGCGGGCTCCGACCCCCCTCCTTGCTGGCCATTGACCTGCTGCAGCAGGAAGGAGACCGTGAGTGGGCGCCCACCCACCAGCCCTGTGCTCTGCCCAGCCCGCGCCACCCCACCTGAACCCGGCTGAGAGCAGAGTGGGAGCAAGCTGGACTCCAGGCTGAGGGGTCCGGGCAAGGGAGAGGATGGCTGTCCCCTCACTCCTCGGGAGGCACAGGGCGCCTCCCCAGCGCCCTGCACAGCCCTGGGCCCGCCTCGAGGGCAAGGGCAATGGAGGGGTGCGTGGGCACCTTCAGAGGCCTGGCACTGAGGGCGGAAGGCTCTCACCCCACCAGCGCACACTGCCCCCAGCCCTCCAGTGACAGCCACGGGACTTGGGCCACACCCACGGGGTACCCCTCAACGACGGCAAGTAGCTGCAGGCCAGTCCCTAGACGCCTGAGACACAGTGACTGCAAGGTCACTTCCATGATTGCTACCCCTGGGGATCGCCCACAGGCCAGCACAGGGCCGGGATGGGGCAGTGCGGGAGTGGGGCGGGCTGTGGCTCAGAGGCTCCGGGCAGCCCCATGAGCCCAGGCCGGCACCCTGTTTTCCCTCCCAGTACGTCACCCTCCGACGAGAACGGGAGGCCCAGCGGTCACAATACTCTAAATACTCCTGGCTCCCAGCAGAGCCCCGTGGCAGGGCAGCCCCTTGACTGCGGGGAGCCCTGCTTGGCACAGCGGTGGCAGCAGAACGGGCCTGGCGGGCAGCCGCTGCTCAACAGAGCCTGGCACCACGGGCGGCGGGCAGCAGGGCCGAGCAGTCCGCAAGCTCCAAGCGGCTCAGAGCAGCCCGACGAGCCCAAGCAGGAGGCCCCGAACCGCCTCCCCGAGCGGCCCCAGCACCAGGCCTGGCGGGGAGAGCGGGAACGGAACAGGCGACCCCACTGTCCCCGACCGAAAGGGCGCCTGTTAGACCCAGGCTCGTGCTGCGTCCCTGCCGAGAGCCTTGGCGGCTAAAGATGTGTGTGGATGGACACGACTCCGGGTGCGAGCAGCGCCTGGGAAGCGCCCGGGACCGCGGCCTGCCCGGCCCCGACCGCCGCCCCACG